TCAGTACCCACTCTGTGGGCAGCACTGTCTGCTTGGCGCTGAGCTGGCTAGAGTGGCTTGAAGTGTCTGGGTTTTCTTAATCGAGGTGAAATTTACATAACCTAAAATCATTAATTTTAAAATGAGCAACTCAGTGGCATTTAATACGTTCAGAATGTTGGGCAACTGTCGTTTTTATCAAATTTCAAAACATTTTCGTCACCCCTGAAGCAATCTGTCCTCACCCCCTTTTCCGCCTGCCAGGCAACCACTAATCTCTGACTATGGATTTACCTTTTTTGAACATTTCATATAAATACAATTACACAATCTGCAGCCTTATGTGTCTGGTTTATTTCACTTGCATGGTTTTTTAAGGCTCGTCTGTGCTGTAGCATGTATCAGTACTTCATTCCTTTTTATGGCTGAGTAATATTCCATTGTATGGATTTGCTACGATTTGTTTACCTGTTCATGGGAAAACACCTGTTGATAGGCCTTTGGGTTGTTTCCATCTTCTAGCTATTGTAAATATTGTTGCTGTGAACATTTGTGTAGAAGTATTTGTTTGACCACCTGTTTTCATTTTTCTTGGGCATGTACCCAGGACTGGGATTTCTGGGTATGTTGTAGTTCTAGGTTTAATTTGTTTTTAAAGTGTCAAACTATATGTCCCAAAGTGACTGCACTGTTTCACATTGTCACCAATAATTCATAGTTCCAATTTCTTTCCTTTTTTTAGAAAAATGTTTAGTACAGGGTGTGTACTCTCACTGGAGAGACAGAGAGAAAGCGAGAAATCACTCTCCAGGGAGGATGGCCTCGCCATAATCCCTTCTCCCCCATTCTCCTCTAATGATTTTGGTCACACATGCACATGTACCTGGCCCGAGTTTTAAGCCGCCGGGTCCAGGACTCCTATATACAACTACATGGGAATCCATCAATACAACCACTACGCCATCTGCTAGTCCCGGTTCCAATTTTTTAACCAACAGTTGTTATTTTCCTTTTCTTTTTTTTAATGTTGCATGCTAATGAGCGTGAAGTGATATTTCATTATAGTTTCAATTTACATTTTTCTAGTGACTAATGATTTAGTGCATCTTTTCATGTATTTGTCAGTCACTTGTGTATTTTTTTGGGGAAAAGTACCTATTTAAATTGGATTGTCTTTTTGTTGAGTTGCGGAAGTCAAGTCCTTTTTTCTTCTTCTATTTCACTTTCTTGATAGTGTTCTTTGATGCACAATAGTTTTTAATTTGGATGAAGTTGACCTATTTTTTCTTTTTGTTTCTCGTGATTTGGGTGTTGTAACCATCACCAAATCCAAATCTAAGGTCACAAAAATTTACCACTGTGTTTTCTTCTAAGAGTTTATAGACTTGGCTCACTGGTCCGTTCGGAGCTCGTTTTTGTGTGTGGAATGACAGGGAAGTCCATGTCATTCTTTTGCACATGGACACCCATTTGTCAAAGAGATTGTGTTCTCCTCCCCTTGAATGGCCTGGGCACTCTTGTCAGAAGTTAATGGGCAGGCTGGCCTTATAGCACAGCCGTTAAGTGGTGTACAGTGAAAGCCAGACCCCACATAGCCAACCAAGGTTTCAGTTCCGGCCCTGGTAGCTTAAAACACACACTAGGGGGCTGGCAGGTGGCATGGTGGTTAAGGCGTCGGACTCCTACATGGCCAGCCATGATTCGAGTCCCAGACCCGGCAACTTGCTTTCTCACTCTCTTGTCAAATTGAATAATAATACTAAATTGATTAAATTAATAATTCTAAACAACAACAACAAAAAACCCCACACATACCAGGCAAGATCCTGATAGAATGGAGCGTTGGAGGAAAAAGGATTGCCACAAAACCAGATCCCACTGAGGAGTGCTTTCTCATAAACAACAAAGAAAACAACTGACCATGGATGTGTAAGTTCATTTCTGGACTCTAAATCCTAGCCCATTATTTATACGTTCGGCTTTATGCTAGTACCACCGTTTTGGCTACTGTAGGTTTTTAGTAAATTTTAATTGATGAGAGTCCTCAAGCTTTTTTTTTTTCCCCCAATAGTTATGGAAATTAGGATGCATCCTAATGTATTTGTCTTCATATTTCTTGTGCTTGGAATTCTTCAAGCTTCTTGGATTCCAACATATGGCTAATAAAAGTTCCAAAAAAAAAAAAAAATGACTGATGAAATAGTCCACAAGGCCAGTCTGGTGGTTGGGGGAGTCAGAGCTCACATGGCCAACTGCAATTCATATCCTGGCCACTGCAGCTTGAAAAACAAGCACGTGTGCGTGCCCCAGGTCCTGATGGAGAAGTGGAGGAGAAGGGATTGTGGTATGACCACACCTTGTTGGCGGGATGCTTTCTCCCTATCTCTGTCGCTCTGGCAAGTGCATGTGCCCACTGGCAATAATTTTTTTTTAAAAAAGAAATAATTGGGTCCAGCAGGTGGCATGGTGATTAAGGTGCTGGACACTCCCATATGGCCAGCCAGGGTTCAAGTCCTGAATCTGGTGGCTTGCTTTCTCACTTCCTCTCTCTCTCACTCTCAACCTCTGTTTCTCTCTGGTCAAATTAAAAAAAAAGAAAATGAATGAATAAATAAAAATAAAATAATTATTTAAAAAAAGAATTTATAAAACTGCCATAGGACTGGAAAATATGTCCTCACAGGCTGAAAGGCCCACACAGGACCCAGCAAAACAAATGAACAAAGATCCATGCAGAGAACATCATGAAATGTCACCTAGGACGCAAAGACTTCCAGCAAGGGGCGGGAAGAAGGAACCATGGGAGATTTGATAGTATGTGCTTCTTACCACAGTTTTGAAGTATTTTCAGGTTAAGGCAGGCAGGTGGCGTGGTGGTTAAGGCACTGGACTCCACATGGTTCTGATTCTGCGCTTGAGTCCCAGACCTGGTGGCTTGCTTTCTCTCCCTCTCTCTCTGTCTCTCTCTGGTGAGTGCATGAGTCCTGTAGCAAACTGGAAAAAAAAAAAAAAAAGAAGAAGAAGAAGAAAGTTAAATGATTATTTTAAAATTGTTCAGGTTAATTTCACAATTTATATAAAGTCCACATAATGACGTATATATATTTTTCAACAGAAAACTTGACATGTTTTGTTCTGTTAAATATTTCTTCCCTTTGCCTCTTTTACCCACCCTCTACCACCCGCTCTCTACCACCTACTCTCCTCCCTTACAGTGTCTTGTGTCTCACCTATTCTCTCTATTCTCATAGCTTCTGATCTTTCCATTTCTGCCATAGACTGCAGATATTCAGTACAAATTGAGTGGGGACATACAGTGTGTATCTTTCAAAGTCTGACTCACTTTACTCAGTGTTAAGTCTATACTCATCCACTTGAATCAAATGATAAGGTCTCATTGTTTCTTATAGCTGAGTAATATTCCATAGTATTTATATGCCAGTTTTTCAACCTAGTCATTAAATTTTGGAGATTTAGGTTGGTTCCATGTTTTAGCAATTGTGAATAATGATGTAATAAACATGGATGTGCAAGTGTCTTTAAGAGTAAAGAAGTAAAAAAAGAAAAGGTACCAGGAGGCAGAGCAGCTGCATTTCCCAATGGGCAGATGGGAGCTAAACTCATGTTTGAGCTGGGAGTGGTCAGAAATTCAGGGATTCCCCAGTGGGCACAGGAAAGAGCACTCCAGGCCGAAGTCCCTGAGTCAAGGTGGGGTGGGGCAGAGCAGGAGAGCAGATGGGAGGAGCCACAGCTGCTGGTGAGGGTGATGGAGTAGGGCAGCTGCAGTCAGGCTGCAGGAGGAGGTGCTTTTTCTGCAGGGTCTGCAGGCCCTGGCCTCCAGGAGTGCTGGATGCAGAGAGATGCTGAAAATGCACACAGGACACTGCATATGCCCATCCTGCAGTCTGATGGACATGGAGGCGTGGGCGTGTGCAATCCACAACCTCCAGAGCCTCGGTTGCAGGTTACAGAGATGGGAAACTACAATGGACCCTCAGCCGACCTGAAAAATCCTGGCACCTAGAGAGCTATAGAATAAAGGCTGAGATGGCAAGTGCCTATGCCCTGATGCTTTTCTAAATGCCAGAGCCTAGCCTCCCCGTGTTTCTGGTCTCTGGGCATCTTAGCAACTGTCTGAATTGTGCCGGGGCATCGAGCCTGCCTACGGTGGGGGTTGAGTCTCCCTGTGACACTGACAGGGGCCTTTTCCCTGCAGACTGGGATGCCCTTGGTGCTGCAGCATTGGCCTGGATGCCACCCTGACATG